GCTGGAGTAAGACACGATACTTGGCGGTTGAGTGAGCAAATGACTGAATGAGGGAGTCAAGACAAAGGCGAAGAGAGAGAGATACAGACGGAGAGAGCAAGAGAGAAAGATAGATGGGCCCGTAAGGTGCAGTTGTGCGCAGACCGGATTCACATATAGACTGTCTTTGTTTACCCACAGTCAGCTGACACTCGGCCATAAACAGCGAAACGACGCATGTGTATGGCCGGACAACCACGGTCTGGACATTAGAGACGAGGCCGCACAGGAGTCGAGGCAAAAGTGTGTCCGGTACGTCTGGTCGAGACGGCATGGTGAAAACTAGCACCCCAAGTCAAGCGACGCCTGACACTGACTCGGACGACAAACACTGAGTCCTCCCACTTTTCTAGCCCCTCATCTGCCCCACTCTTGCTGACATGACTTGTACTTTTTATTAGTCTAAAGACATCTAGCCCGAGCCCGAGAGCCGAAAATGGGGGGGAACTTAATAGAGGCTACCCCTAACCTCGGCCTCATTGAGCCAACATCAACCTATCTCTCCGTGCGAGTCGGCAGAGGCCTATTAATACAGATGAGTCCATCTTTCGAATCCAAATCGAGGCGATGTTTTGGATTGGACACGCTACTACTGATTACGCTAATCAGTAGGCTATCGAGTTCGAGTCGCAAAATTATATAGAATTGGATAATTCTTCAAGTAAAAACCTATATATGAGGTGTATTCAACCCATTTCGTGTGAGGTGATAAGGGGTGACTAATAGTTGAATTTTCCCACTAGCATATGAGTAGATCGTAGATATGAAAACCAAGATACTGTGACCCTCTGATTGGTAGCAGTTTTCTTTATCTTTATAGTGTTAGTTAGACCTTGTTCTCCCAACTGGATCGGAGCGTCAAATAGACCTTGTGGAACGTACCTAACCCGGTGTCCTCTGCCATGGTATTCGTGATTTCCAGCATTCGACCATTGGCTGGGTACATTCCTAAACGTTTCGCCAGCAATGCCAGTGAGAGGAGCCATCGTAAGCACAGAGTTACAATTTATCAAAGTGAGGGCAAGCTCCTTGACCCTTTTTCTGTTCACCCGTTGTGGCATCCCTCCTCTACCCTATTTTTCGTTCAATCTTCTAGTGCCATAGCTCTTTCTCTCAACCCCACTGTGCTCTCGCTTCCTTCAATGTCGCCTAAGAGTGTGTTACTACAGATGGGTTTAGTGAATTGTAATCATCTCCACCACCGGTACCAGGTGCCGTTTGCAGGACTCATGATCTACATTCTGCCCCTCCCCCATCATTTTTTCCTACCCGCCTGTCAATTCGCAGCAGCTTAACATCAAAATCACTGTTTGGTTGTTTTAAATTTAACTATGCGGAGAAAAGTTGGGTTTCGAGGACTCTCTTATTTCATAATTGGTGAGCTTGCTTCTGTTTCGAGTGAAAGTGTTTGGTGAAGAGATTCGAAGGTCGATTCCACCAGAAGACGACGGCGAAGTCCTCTTGACCAGCTGCCGATTAGCTTTACTCGACCATCCATGTTGACGCTGTTTCCGAGATAATCTCATGCTCCTCTGGTGAAAATGTACTAAGCTTTTTTCCGTCATGACGAACATCATCAGAACAATGTATCATCCTTACCTCATCAAATAGGCTACACATAGCCATGCCAGAGGGTTTTCTTGACTCGTTAGCTTTAATTTGGTTGTGACGATGATACCTGGCTTTGATGATGTCCGTCATATGACGGACGAAAGCTTAGCACCTTTTCACCGGAATCGAAGGAGATTATCTCAGAAACAGCTTCCGCATGAATCTTCCAGTAAAGCTAATCGACAGCTGGTCAAGAGGCATCCGCCGTCGTCTCCTTGTGGAATCAACCTTTGAATCTCTTCACCAAACACTTTCACTTGAATGAAATCTGGCTGCCTAAGAGCCTTTAATTCCCCTCCTCAATTATGCCATATTCGAGAATTTAGAGCAGATGTCCATAAACATGCAAGTGCCCCTCATCCCCACCAACATTGTGTCCCACAATCATATGAATAGACCTCACCCCCTTAAACGCAATAGGGAAATACATCCCTTATATATTTTAATCTATTCATAGTCCTGAAAACCGAATACCATGGCACGGATCTCCTTACGTTGCCAGACGTTGTTTCATCTTGTTTTCGCAACTTAGTTGTATTGTCAAGCCGACCTAGAGGAATACACCTTGTCCTGAGTCCATATTATGCATATTAATTTTCAGAGTCAGACCGTGGAATTGTTACTTTCACAGATATTTTGCCAGCATTGTAGTCCGTATCGTCAGTCAGCCTTGACATTCTGAGCACCACATCACAAGTCGCCAAAGAGATAAGTGGAGTTGATCCTTTGACTGATTGTTTTCAAAACAGTTGTGGTATCTCACTTTCAGTCTTGGGCTATTCACCTTCATATATACTCGTAACACCTCGCCACTATCGCAATTTGTTACCTCGTGCTTTCCTCTAAGTCTTCCTGCCAATATAACCAAGCTGCGAAAACAAGGTCAAACAGCCTCTAAAAATAAGTAAATCGAAGGTATGAAGGCCAAAATGGTGAGGCCCACGGTATGGTCGCAGTTACCTTTTGATTTATAGAAGTGGGTTGACCTCGTTGTCGCAACTTGGTCTTGTTGTCAGGGCGACTTAGTAGACTCACCTAGTCCGAAGTCGTCTGCCATAGTAGTCGTTATGATTCCCAGCATCAGACAGTGGACTTGGTACATTCGCAAACGCTTCGTCGGCATCATAGTCAGGATCATCAGTGAGTGTCGTCATTATCTGCACCAAGCTAGGAACTTGTCAAAGAAACAAGTGAAGTCAATCCCTCGACAACCGTTCTGCCGAAAACGGTTGCATCATCACTCCTCTTTCTGTCCTGGCCTATCTATCTACTCTTTACCCTCTTATTCCACTGCCGCACTATCACAACTTATGATTTGTTTCATTCCACTTGTCAATATGTGTGCCCCTTGTGGCAAACCTAGTGTGGCCTCATCACACCTGCTATTCACCCAGCCCCCATTTTCCTCCGCTTAGCAGTAGATCCTTGATCCAGGCGTCTCCTTTTTGCTGATCTTGCTCTATTCTTGTTTTCTCCGAGTTTGCTTAGGCAGTAGGCAAAGTTATCGCTTACTCTACCTTCATTAGATTTTTCTTACCAAGGATGTCAATGGCCGCCCTTATCTTCCACTTTCTTGTGTTGTCACCTTACGGGGCCCTTCTTTCTATTGCCTTCCAATTGATCTCGTTTCCAGTCTGTGCGATTTGTTCAGTTAGTTCTGATCTTTTGGTGTCCATTTTCCTGCAGAGTCCTTGATGTTCCTTGATTCGTATGCCAATTTTTCTCCCTGATTCGCCATTATATTTATGTTCGTAGGCGCCGCATGAGTTGACAGCACCTTTTTATCAGCATGACGATCGGAAGAAAGTATCAAATTTATCATCATTTCTTCTCAATCCCGAAACAACCGCGTTCCTGGAAAAATGACTCAACTTTTCCATTCAAAATGATAGAAGCCTTCTAGGAGACAATTTTGTGGAGGTTATCAATATCTCCGACAAGCTCCCAGAAGAGACAAAACGGGAAATGGAGATGAAACTAATTTCAAAGATCTTGACACATCATGAACTAGTAAA